GTCGCCGGTCCATTCTGGGTTCTAGTGGCCTTAGTCTGCCCACTAGAGTTTGCACATGGTATCCGGCATTTTTATGCTGGCAGATGAGATATCAGTCAGGTGATGATTATCAGGTTATGATTATTCAGTACCGGTTTCAGTTCAGGTTATGTATATGCCAGGATCATGATATTGCAATTATTGTCACTGTTTACTTTAGTATGAGTTCCTACGGAGCACAGTGGACTTTAGTGCTCATGCCCCATGTTTATTATGTTTTTTTCAGGTCACGGAGTCGGACCAGAGGTGTGAGTTGGCGGTCAGTTCAGGACTATGCTTATAAAGTTTGAATTATGCAGAGATTATGCTTATAAAGTTTGAATTATGCACAAAAGTGTTGTTACTATCTCCCGTAGTGGGATTTACCTGTTTTGCCGCTACGGTTTCTGCTGAGTTTTCACTGTTTGTCAAACTTAGCCCTTTTGATCCGATGATCAGTTATCAGACTGTTAGTCCGTTTTCTTAAAAACAAAAAAAACAATTTGGTATTTTAAAGTAAAGTCATGTATTACGGTAGCACTCCGAATTAGTATTTCGCAATTTAAATATTTTATTTTGAAAAACTTTGCAAAAAATGCACTCTGATTTTCATGTTATAGCGGGGTGTTACAGTTGGTATCAGAGCACGTTTCTGCGTCTCTGAAAATTTTTACGAGTCAGAAATTTTTCAAAAAACCTGAACACGTCACGCTCACGCCTCGCCGACTACAGGTAAGTGCTGATTCATGTTTTTAAATTATAAAAAAATTACTATGTCTATGCTCAGAAGACCACAGTTATGATTTAGTTAAGATGCTCGAATCATGTTCAGGATCCATAGTCCAGTATATCCATGATTAATGTCAGTATTTCCCAGCCATGTTAAGCAACTCGTCAAGAGATTTGTGCGCTTTATTGATCAGCTAAAGTATTTTTCATGTGTTCAATAATGTTGAAATTTTTCCCATATTCAGATGCCGCCCCGTAGGGAACCCGATCGTCTGGTTGTCCCCCATGACACAGTAGTCGCACATTTTTGCGACTAACACCCCGAGGAATTCTCCGGCCAGGGAGATCCTCGAGTAGTTGACGAATGGGTTCAGGGCCTTGAATTGATTTTCGAGGTCATGGACTGTCCAGATCGCTATCGTGTTTTATGCGCACAGATTCAGTTGACGGGGGATGCATGACTCTGGTGGAACGCTTACTGGAGTATGCGTCCCAGCGAAAAGGAAAGTTGTACCTGGGACAGGTTTAAGGAGTTGATTCGTGAGAAGTACTATCCCACGTACTACCGAGCAGAGATGGAGCGTCAGTTCCTGGCGCTCAAACAGGGTACTCGTTCTGTTGATGAGTACGAGTGAGAATTCACTCAACTCAGAG